TAAAAAAAAAAAAAAAAAAAACAAAAAGTTCTATTAAATTACCCACGTTATTCATGAAATTTTACATTTTTTTTTTCTTATTTTAGTGGGTGGAATTATCTGTTTAGAAATAAATAAATAAAAAGTTAAAAGGAAAAATCGTTTTCAATTTCCAACCTGGTGAAAGGGTGGAGTGCGAGGGCGAGATTAAGCATCAAAATCTCGCGAGTTTTTGTGAAATATTACGGGAATGACAAATATCATACGCCGTGTTTTTTCCCCGTCTAAATTCGCGGCACTGGATCCCTTCTCCTTCATTCCACCTTCACCACCTAATTCCTTAACCCTGCTTAGATTAGCTTAATCTTACTCTCTTCATTGTTTAACCTATACTTCAAAATTATTATTAATTTGACAAATTCAGTAGGCCATCAACTTTGCCCAACCTTTTTAATTCAAAGAATAAATAAATACACACATTTTTCAGCTTCCTATAAGTTTCCCATTTCCCCTAAGTTTGCATTCTCTTCCCAGCTACGGCTTTCAACAAAAACCAGTAGAGAGAGAGAGAGAGAGAGAGAGAGAGGGACAACAGATTTCGCAGGAGAAACCGGAGGAGACCTTTCTTTCTTGAGATTCTCATTCCATTCTCCTTCCTCATCCTCTATTTTTCTCTCTCTCTTCACACCCTTACTTAAACAATCCCCCCATTTCTTCCTCTTCCCACAATCACTTTTCACCATGATCTCCTTGAATAGAACCACTTTCCTGGTATTGCAATTCGATTCCATTACTTTTTCACCTTTTCTTTCATGTTTTTGTATCTGGGTCGTTTTAATTTTTGCGGGATTTCTCTGATTCCTTCAATGTTGCTCGATCTTTTTTTTTTTTTTTTTCTCAGACCCAGATGGGTGTCTCTGGAGCTTGCTCCACTTCTTCCGGCACCGGAAGACGGCATCCGGTGTCTCTGAAGGTGGTGTCGATGGACTCGAATGGCCGAGCCGGCGACCGAAGCGGCAGTGTTGTCGTGGAGAACAGCACTATGAATGAAATTGCCAAGGCACCGTCGCCGGTGGTCGAGGTGGAACCCAAATCTACCGCCAGCAGCTGGGCTCAGGATGCGTATGTTGATGATTCCGCCGCCGCCACGGAGGAGCAAATCATGACACCTTGGAGCGTTTCTGTTGCAAGGTGAAAATCACGATCCCCAATTTTTTTTTTTTTTTGGCTTGATTGTTTAATTTATTCACCCCCTTTTAAGATTGTGTCATCTTATATTATAATCTTAACTTAGTTTTTGAATTTTATAGGAATTAACTGATTGCAATTTGCATCATATTATATTGGTGTAGTGTTCTTGATAATCTTCTAGACCTATATGTTATTTGTTGAGTTTACATTTCATCTAGCTGCTGATTTGTGATTTCCTGCTGACTTATTTGAACTCTGCAAACCCTTAAGAGAAATTTCTTTATGTTATTTCTCTCACTTTTCTGCTGTCTTTTGTTTCAATCTTTCAAAGCTGATTCTTTATCTTCTCCTTGTGTTGGTTTTTCGCTGGAAACTCAGTGGATATAACTTATTGAGAGACCCACGCCACAACAAAGGGCTTGCTTTTACTGAGAAAGAAAGAGATGCTCACTACTTGCGCGGTCTGCTACCCCCGGCGGTTGTTGCTCAGAATATTCAGGTTACTCTTTCACTTGAGATACCATTCAGGCGCATTGTAAATTTTACAAAACCTAGTTTTTGATTCTTGAAACTATTTGGAACAACTTTCCAGGTAAAGAAGATGTTACACAATATTCGTCAATATCAGGTGCCATTGCAGAAGTACATGGCTATGATGGATCTTCAGGTAGCCATTTATTGATGTCATTTTTTTAGTAGGAATTTCAAATGATTCTTGATTAAATTTTTGGATTTCATCTTTTTGAACACAAAATTCTGAACCTTGTTGAACCAACGTTCTTAATATATGCATCAATCCTTGTAAGTACATCAGTGGAACTTATTATGAAATTGAACAAGGTTTTCTCTCCCAAGATTGATACTTTGCATATCAGATTCAGTACTATTTGTCTTATAACCAACCTTTTCTGTACCCTTTTTCAGGAGAGGAACGAAAAGCTGTTTTACAATCTCCTTATCAATCATGTAGAAGAATTACTCCCAGTTGTGTATACACCAACCGTGGGTGAAGCTTGCCAGAAATATGGAAGCATCTTCAGGCAACCACAGGGTCTTTACATCAGTTTGAAAGAAAAGTACGTTTCTTGGTTGTGATGCATTTCTGTCTTGGTTTTTCGTGTTGAAATGATCAAGTTTCTTTTGCAGGGGGAGGATCCTTGAGGTTTTGCGGAATTGGCCTGAGAAGAACATTCAAGTCATTGTAGTAACTGATGGGGAGAGAATTTTGGGGCTAGGAGACCTTGGATGTCAGGTTAATTCCATTTGCAACTCTTTCGTAATGAAACTTGTTTACAAGTATTTAAAATGATGATCCTCCACTGAAGCTTGAGATTGAGCGATATACTCTTTCTTCTTGTCTGTTATTGAACCTAATGATCCTAACACAGAGCAAATCCATGTAATTATTTTAGGGGATGGGTATACCCGTTGGAAAACTCTCTTTATATACTGCACTCGGGGGTGTTTTTCCTTCAGCGGTGAGTGCCTATACGATCTCATCCTACTCTTCTATATAATTGATTTTCGAAACTAACCTTGCTTGCTTCATTTCCTTTCTCGTTGTCTCAATATCTAATTTATCAAAACTTTCAGTGCTTGCCTGTGACCATTGATGTCGGTACGAACAATGAGGAGTTGTTGAATGATGAGTTTTACATTGGACTCAGGCAAAAGAGAGCTACTGGGCAGGTTTGTGTTTTGCATCTATAGTTTAAGGTGACAAGCTTTATTCATTTCATTCCAAGCTTAAGTGGGATGCTTTTACTCGATATAGGAATATGCGGAACTTATAGATGAATTCATGACTGCGGTCAAGCAGTGCTATGGGGAGAAACTACTCATTCAGGTATTTTACCATAATTACACATACTTGATTAGTTGGGAAAATATAATCTTTTCTTTTTTACTCATTACATAATAACAAGACATACATCTCAGCATTTTCTGCCTAGTTTATTTAAAGTTAAGAGACTCGATTCAATAATCTTTCCCTAAAATAAAGTGAAAAAGATGTATAAATAACCTCTGTCTGAATTGTTACTTGGATTTACAATTATCCATTAAAGACAAACACAAAATCCGAAAAAATGAGGTGAAAAGAAATACATAATATGTTACATATGTAATTTGATTCTTTGTTAATCAGATTCGGGCAGATATTAAAATTGATATCTTCCATTAAATATTCATCTAATTCAATTTCTACATTTTGAAGTTTGAAGATTTTGCAAACCACAATGCATTCGACTTGCTAGCAAAATACGGTGCAACTCATCTAGTCTTTAATGATGACATTCAGGTTAGAACCTTGGACTTTTCATTTCACTGTTTGAATAATTTCAACCAACTTATCTCTGATATCTTTGTCGCATTGAATCTCAGGGGACAGCATCCGTCGTCCTTGCTGGGCTCATTGCAGCTTTAAAATTCGTTGGCGGATCCTTAGCTGACCATAGGTTTTTGTTCCTTGGTGCTGGAGAAGTATGTCCATATTGATTCATGTCCAACACCTTAAATGTTCCTCCTAATTTTGATGTAATATATTAACGTTTGGTGTTCCTTTCATTGTCTCAGGCTGGTACTGGAATTGCAGAACTCATAGCCCTTGAGATATCAAAACAGGTTAAAATGAGTAGTCATTTTAGATTATAGATTTTCCTCATACTTCGTTCAAAATTTATTTGGTTAATCTTCATCTTAATTAACAAGGGCTAGTCCTTTGTGTAGACCAATGCTCCCATGGAAGAGACCCGCAAAAACATTTGGCTCGTGGATTCGAAGGTAACTCATTCATCAAGCTTTATGAGGTGTTCATCATTCATTAAGTTTTTTGAAATTGTGATTTCTGATTACTTGTTTTTGTTCATTCCTCAGGGGCTCATTGTAAGTTCTAGGAAGGATACGCTCCAACATTTCAAGAAACCTTGGGCTCATGAACACAAACCTATTAGTAAACTCATAGATGCCGTTAAGGTGTGTTAAATCTCGCTACTTACCTCCAAAAATGCAAATTCATAAATTTGAACAAAGTATTAAGTTCCTTTTTTACTGTTTCACATCAGGAAATCAAACCGACTGTCTTGATTGGAACATCAGGCGTTGGAAGAACGTTCACTAAAGAAGTCGTGGAGACTATGGCCTCGATCAATGAGGTATCGAATCCATCTAACTGATTGTTCCTTTGTTTTTTACTTTAAGAAGAGTATAAGCAGATCTTTTTTTTGGTGAACTTGTTGCAGAAACCTATCATTCTCTCTCTTTCCAACCCTACTTCCCAATCTGAATGTACTGCCGAAGAAGCTTATAAATGGAGTCAGGTAAATACAATGGCAATTTTTCAACTGCCTCAGTTTTGCCATAGGTTGTCCTCCTCCATATTCATTTTGTATGACACTGTTGGGTTGTTTTGATCAGGGTCGTGCCATTTTTGCAAGTGGGAGCCCATTCGACCCAGTAAACTACAAGGGGAAGACGTTTGTGCCTGGCCAGGTTCCACATTTCAATTCAATTCTGTCTAATAAGCTAAACGTATATCAAGATTTGGGTGTTAACATTATTCTATGGTGATTTCTTTACAACAATGCAGGCAAACAATGCGTACATCTTTCCTGGATTGGGTTTGGGGTTGATTATGTCAGGCACAATCCGTGTTCATGATGACATGCTTCTAGCAGCCTGTAAGTACTCATAAGCCTATTAATATTAAAGAGCAAGAGCGTATGTTTGAGACTGCACTTATTTTACAAGAAAAGATGGGACTTTTGTCCATTGCTATGCTTAAGTCATCGTTTTTATTGAGTCGGGGTTCGATTCATCCTAGCATATTGATGTGCTTGTTTATTACCATCAGCGGAAGCCTTGGCTTCACAAGTGACCCAAGACGATTACAACAAAGGACTCATCTATCCTCCATTTACCAACATCAGAAAGATTTCAGCACATATTGCTGCTAGTGTGGCTGCAAAAGCTTATGAACTTGGTGAGTCTTCAACTTCATTTCCTTTTCCCAAACTTTTCAACGAGTTACAATTTGCTAATCATTCAATGTCTCATAGGTCTGGCCACTCGCCACCCTCAACCTAAAGATCTGGTGAAATATGCTGAGAGCTGTATGTACAGTCCTAGCTATCAAAATTATCGGTAGATTGCGATGTCTCTCGTAGCTGTGCCGTGTTGTGTCGTTCGTTTATTTTCTGATAATGTATCTTCAATTTGTATTACTTTCTTTTGTTATGTAAGTTACTTGGTTGTTTAGAAATCAGTTTATAGTTTGTATTAGTTGTGAGAAAAAGAAAAAGAAAGAAGAAAAGAAGAAAAGGGAAGGGGAAAAAAGAACTCTTACAAGTGTTTCATGAAATTGAATGGAAACTTGTGCTCAAAATCTCAAGTAGATTCATGGTTTATTGTTGGAGATTTCTGTTGAATACTAAACATTAAGCCATGCAATTCACTCGGATTGTTTCATTCAGTGCAATTCACTCAGATTGTTTGGATGTGAAATAAAAATGCATTTTTGTGTAGAAGGGTAATATCAATGTCCAGAGTGAGATTCTAAGCTAACAACTACAGGAGATAATGATGTGAAATATTCTGATCCTTTGTCTCCCACTATATTCCACTGCTCTTTAAATATTTAGCTCATTACCAAAAGAAGCTGCAGATGTGACTATAAAACACCTCTTCTGTGCACATCTTTCTCACATAGGAATGGCAGAAGAAGAGGAGGAAACTCCTGATGCTCTTGCACTCTCTATTAGTGGTGTTACATTATACTATGGTTAGTGCGTAAAGAGCCGAAAGGCTCTAAATGAAGATATATTCTTATTGAAACCTAAATATGGTATGTGCATGGAATATGCTACGAATGACTGAAATCTGGCAACTTCTTCTAAGTTTCTCTAAACCTGGGGGAATATGACAGCCGCCATCTCCTCTCCTACAGTCTCCCTCTTGAAGGCTGAGATGCTAAAGCTCAGCATCTGGCCTACATGCACTGCTTCCCTCTATTCTTCTTTCTTTTCTCTTGTTTTCCTCTTTATAAACCTCTGGATCCTAACCATTATGTAACTTCAACTCATCACCACTCCACAATCGTCCTACTCTGTTCTGTTTTCTCCCTTTGATATTTTGCTTGAGATGGAAAGGAGTCAGTTGTTGAGGCAGATCAACAGCATGAGACAATCACTCTTCGATCAGGTCCTTTTTATCTCACTCAAGCATCCATTTTCCTTACCATCTTTTATGAAATCTATAGATGTAAAGCACTAAAACCAGATATTGCTCTCTTCAGGGACTCCTTGATGAACAATTCGTTCAGTTGGAGGAGCTGCAAGATGATGCTAACCCAAACTTTGTTGAGGAAGTTGTAACTCTATGCTACTGCGACTCGTCGAGATTAATCCTGAACTTAGAGCAAGCATTGTAAGTAAATTCAGAACCTCAAACTCTTTCCCTTCTGTAGTTGTAATGATCACCATTCTAACAAATCAATTTCAGTGCAGAAAGAAGAGCCCTCTAGACTTCAATCAGTTGGATAGCTATATGCAACAGTTCAAGGGAAGTATCTCAAGGTAAAGTCACAAAAGAAAAAAGAATAAGAACAATAATTAATCATAAAGCTAGCTATATTCGCTGTCGGCTTTAATAAAACATGTTTCGTCCTTAATCATGAATGGATGCAGCATTGGAGCAAGAAAGGTGAAAGATCAGTGCACACTTTTTAGGGAATACTGTACGGCTGGAAGTGGAGAAGGGTATTATCTTTCTCTTTACCTCATCTCGATTACACTCAGATTAACCTACGAGCATGTATGGTAGTTTTTTAATACTGATTCTGATGCCTTCTCTAAACATGTTAAGATGCTTTAGGACTTTCCAGCGACTGAAAAAAGAACATACAGCTCTGAGAAAGAAGTTCGAAGCTTACTTTCAGGTTTATATTTCACTACTCAGTTGACAAAAAGAAGAAGCAAAAAGTTGGGATTTTTACTATAATTTGTGTTGTTTTCTGAGCAGCTGAAAAGGCAAGCTGGTCCGAGTCAAGTTGCAAGTCGTCCCAAGTAAAGAATGATGGCAAACAAAGGCTAGCACTTCAAACTTTAGTTGTTAAGTTTCCTAGCAAGCTTATGGAGATCATGCATATAAGTTGTTCAAAGCCCCTTGTCTTAACTTCTTGGTAAAGGGAAAGTAAGCAAGTCTTCGCCCTTTTGTACAATCTTTCTCTCCCAATTATCTGTCTGTCCACTAGCCAAACAATATAGGATGCTTTTGAAATAGCAAGGAGATGCATGCATCTCTAATCCAAGCTGAGAGGTTGTCCAACATCAACGATCATAAGAAAAGATTATACTTGGCAAGCTTAAAGATAGATGTATAAATCAGAGTCCAAATATTCCAAGATCTTTTAATTTATACCGACTCATTTACTCAAATACGCTCATATAAATTGCTCAGAATATCTGTGGAATGTTGTGTACATTAGAGTACGATGACACCGGAATGATTTTTACAACCATTGTATACAGCTTTTGCTCATGCTTATGGGCAAAATGTAGCCTCCTACACTTCAGAGCATGTTCTTTTCCAGCATCATTACAGGGTTTATCTTTCTACGCACCTTTAAGGTACAGAAGAGTACAATTTACAAGATTGTTTCACCTGGCCGAGGAATGCACAAGCGCAACATCTAATGCAATGCCCTTCCCGTTCGCACTTCCAAGTTGTAACAGCAGTTCCGCAACTAATCACATGAAACCTCGTCCAGCATGTCCAGGAAACCTTTCTTAGATGTCTTTTGAAGAGCTTGATCAAAACGATACGGATTGGCTGATGCTGCTTCAAATTTCAGCCAGAGTTCTTTTTTAAGAGTCTCTTCGCCAGCACGTTTGCCAACCCGAAATACACTTTCACATTCCTTCAACATGGGAGTGTTATCTATGTGCGGCAAGCTGACCCCAACTGGACCTTTATGTAAATTTTTTTAGTCAGAAACGTATCACAAATCATAGGCCAAACGCGACATTGATATAATCAAAATTATCTATAATAAAACAGAATCTAAACTGATTCATGAGCAGGGACGTGTGGTAATTGAAAAAAGAATAATACCTTCGTCGCCGAAAGATTTCTTGGCTTCGTGACATCCGTAACAAGCAGCACTTTTCACTGAATGAAAATCAGACGGCTCCAGTAAAACACATGTTTTTGGAGGTGACATAAACCAGTCTGGTGAGGCTTCAACCTCCTTTCTAGTTTCTAATTTGTGAGCCTGTTGAATTCCCAAGAGTTCTGGGTACTTTAAAGCCAGTCCATCAGAAGCGTCACCGCCGGAGGAGTAATCCTGAACTCCAACGGGAAAAGGTGTGGCCTTATAAACCATTTTTTTGTCTTTATGTGATGACTCAGAAATGGGTTCGAGCAGCACACAAGATTTTGGAGGCGACATTTTTAAGCAGGGAGTCATAACTAGCATAGAGCAATTTTTCTTTGATAACATAGGTGGGGATGCAAATCCACGCTGATGAGTTATCTCAACTTGTGCTATATTATCAGACCCAGAAGGCTCAACACCACTAAGCACAATTCCATTTCCTTCTAACAAATTCTCCCCCAGTTTAGTTAAATTAGACCCAGATGGCTTACCAGTACTTGGCGCAATTCCATTACCTTCAAGCAGATTCTCCCCTAGTGTTGTTAAATCAGGACCAGAAGGCTTGCCAGGCCCAGGTATTTGACCTTCAAGTTCATTCTCGTTTAAATCTCTACATGCAATAAAACATGGTTGTGCGCCCTCGATTATGCTCGAAGTCATTCCACTAAGTGCAGATTTAGAATATTTCACATGTTTAGATGAGAGTGATTTAGAAATAGGAAGAGGTGTGAGTAAAAACAATTGTCTTCCTCTCTCAATATTGCATCCAGCACGCCATGATACGAGGGGTGAAGGAGAGATCAGATCTCGAACTTCAGCTTGGTCTGGGCTGTCAATAACACTGTTCTCCGTATCGTTAACCATCACATTGCTTTCACTAGACAAGGGTTGTTCTATATCACCATCAATACCTTTTGATGGAGAAGAGAGCACCTTCTGAAGTCTGGGAACCCATGGCTGGATTTAAGAAAATTATCCCACACGAGCTATCAGGATGAATGGAGTTGCAATATAAAATCAATTAATGAAAATTGAAAAATTACCTTCAAAGAAGATAGCACATCAGATAAGATATGAGTGAAAGATTCGATCTGTTTCCTCCCTTGTTTCCCCATTTCCTTCAGTTCAAATGCTTTCACAGCAAGTTCATCAATCTGCCAATCCAGTACGGTAAGATGTAACTATGCAACATAATAAAAAGAAGAACCAACCAACTACCACACGGATTATAGAGAATCTTAAAATAGGTGCAATTGCGTACCGCCCAGTTTAAGAACACACACTTACCTTTAAGTTCATTAATTCCTAGAATACATATGTACGTAATCTACCCTTCTAAACTTATGTGTTGTTCCTTATTACCTAGGAGAGAACAAAAGTCTTGAAGAAACAAGTTCATTGTTTGTTCCTGATGAACTACTTTATTTTCTTGAAGAAAGTGTTAAACCCAGAAAACAATGGTTTTCTATGCTGCAAAGAATTAACTTTATATGATTTTGATATCCAATTTTCCTCTCAGGCCGGCTAATATAATATATTCGTGCAACTCTTAAGAAAAAGAAGGGGGGAAAAAAAAAAAGAATACAAGACTTGCCAGTATCAAACACCCAAACATAGACACTACGGAATATTAACTGCATTGGTTAAGATCCAAGCGAAGCTTGAAATTAGAGTTCAATTAACTCCAATGAAGAGATAAATCCGGCTGCTTACTATGCCCTGTCTAATTCACTTCCGTTCTCCCCAATTTTGAAACAGAAATCAACCCAAACGAAACACCATTATGAAACCAATCCACACATGAAAATCAAGATGAACAGAACAAAAGTTACGCAGATAGTTGAATCAGAGCGAATACCCATTCTCAAAAAGGAGGCTAGTTCGAGAGAGATACCTGATTAGTGAACGCTGAGAGATCGGACTGAACCAGAAGGAGACGATCGAGAGCATCATCTTGCTCTTCAACCTTAGACTTGTAATCATCTTCCTTTCTCTTAGCAGTAGCGACAGATTTGGAGGAAGTTCGGCCGTATTTTTGGTTCGATACATCCCTCAGTGGCTTCTTCCCGGATTTCCCCCTCATCGGCATCCTAATCGCCGCCGGAAGCCTCCCCTTCGGAAACCTGCAAAATTTTCTCTCTCCCACTTTTTGAATCTCTCCAATGGCGGGCTTTTACGTGCCTGTAGTTGTACAACGTTCCAGAATCTACGATGAAAAGCTTCATTAGTGCAAAATAGAATGGGCCAACGCACTCTATTGG